TACGCCTAAGTGGATACGCGCTGAACATTGTTATTTGTAACATTCCTATATTGTTTACGGTGGGGAGAGATCCCACAATTCCTTGCACAAAAATGCATAAATAAGATTAAATGAGCTGCCGAGATACAAAGGGAGGTTTGTAACCCGCTTTCCTTGCTGGTGGAGGGGAAAATTGTCACTTACATTTGACTTTGGTTACCCGGCAGCATTGAGTCCTAATCGCCAGGCGAGAACGCGGGGTGCTCCTCCTACAGACACCTACTTCCTGAGCCTGTGCAGGGCGCGCATGCACAGGGAAGGAGTCCACCCTTGGACAGTGGCGCCTCAGAAACCTGAACATAGATCTTTATCTATGCGAGAATACAGTTTAGGGCTCCATTTAAGGAAGGAGAAATAAAAGAGTTGTTTGAGAAGGGTTATAACACAACCTTCTATTTCAGAAAGGAGTGATGACTGCTTAGCCAAATCCTTAAAACCATCCGAAGCAAGAGTGATCCTGATTGCAGCTGTGCCGGCAGGCAGTTCAGCACACACACACACACACACACACACACACACACACACACACAGAGAGAGAGAGAGAGAGAGAGAGAGAGAGAGAGAGAGAGAGAAGGAGTCATTAGCGCTTTCCAACCCCTACACTGAACTACTAGGCTACCCATCTCATTACCTTTGTCTTAAACCATTTAAGCTGGTTTTGCGGGAAAGCAAGGCTAATTTGAAAGAATAGGAGTGCTGTGACAGGGTGGGGCCCCAATTTGTTTTTCCTTCTCTTGTCTTTATTCCCCCTCTAAACTTCTCTCCAGCTGCTGACAGAGTGGCCCTTCTCTATTCTTTTCCTCCCACCTCCCCCAGGGTCCATCCAGTTTGCTTTCCTCTCCCCACCAAGCATACTGGTTACTACAGACTTGTCTGTCCATTAAAAAAAAAAAACATTTTTATGGAAATGCATTAACTTTGAGAAACAGAAGGGCAGCTGATGGGTGCAGGAGTGTTGGCATAATAAGTAAAAGTCCTCAGACAGCCTGGGGTCAGAGGGAGGCCCTAGGCTTGCCTTGCTGGCTGACCCCAGGCTGCTGTTGTTCAGACACCCTGCCTAGTGGGCCACCACACCTGAACTCCAGGTGGCACCTATAAGGAGCTGTCAGGTCCTGGTGAAGGGCAAGGATCATGGCTAGCAGCTCTCAGGCATAGAGGCCTGTCAAGCTATCCGGACTTGTGGCATATCCTGCTGGCAGTTGTGTCTGGACTTGGACCTACACCCAGCTATGTCCTTGTTATGTACACTGTCTACTTGGCAGGTTTCGTCGGAGGCAAAACATTCCTAAAGGCTGCTCCAGGGAAAGTTAGCCCACAGAGAAAACTCCTACCAGGACTCATGCTACTGGAGGGTCTTGGTCTAGGTAGGTGTTGAAGACAGACAAGATGTCTAAGTAGAGAAAGCACTCTACATTGGGGGAAGGGTGTGTTTCTTCCTGCCTCTATTTTGCTCATTTGAAGTGGTGAGGTTTGTTGTTGTTGTTTGGTTTTTGAGGCAGGGTTTCTCTTGGTAACTGGGGCGGGGGGGGGGGGGGGGCCTGAACCCTGCCTGGAAGAAAGGGGGGGGGGGGTCCTGAAACTGGCTCTGTAGACCAGACTGGCCTGGAACTCACAGAGATCTGCCTGTTTCTGCATCCTGGTTG